TCAGCTGCTGGTCAGTTTCAGTAGCAACACCCCTTGGCGCTGTGGGACCAACCCGGCAGCACCCCAGCTTCTCTGCCCCAGGCGTCCCCAAGAGCAACTGAGGTGCTGCCAGGTTGATCTTGCAGTGCCAATCTCGGTGCTGAAGGGACCAACCTGGCAGCACCCCAGCTGCTCTATCCCAGGTGTCCCCAAGTCAGCTGCTGCTGAAACTGATCAGCGGCTGATTCCCGGAAGCCCGGGGCAAAGCAGCTCTGCCTCGGGCTTCCTGTAGTCAGCCGCTGGTCAGTTTCAGCAGCGGCTGAATCGGGGACACCTGGGGTACAATATGTACCAGTTCCGACTTACATACAAATTCAACTTAAGAACAAACCTACAGTCCCTATCTTGTACGTAACCCGGGGACTGCCTGTAACTCAAAAGGGCTTTGGACAAATTGCTTCATGTAACCTATCAATCTTCATGTCATAATCCGCTGGATCTGTTTATCTTATTGTGTGTAAAATTAGACATATGGAGTATGGAGGGCTTAATGGTTTTTAAATGTGTGAATGAAAGCCATCACGGGTGTTACCCTCAACGTCTTGATGACCAACTGTTAAACAATCACTTTTGTCCTTTGAGTCTTAGCAGTGGTTGGCAGGGATAAGTCTCATTTTTTGAGGAGTATAGGATCGTTCGAAAAAGGGTTTTTTTTCCCCTGAAAGAACCACGACTAGACAGCAGTTTCACTTTCGAAACACCCGTTTTCAAAAGAACACGCAGACGCCATTATGCAAATGAAGCGTGGGAAATTCAAATACCCTTTTGGAAGAGGGATGTAGTTTAGACATGCCCCATGAGTCTTGTCTTCAGCTGGCACATCCAGGAGAGTGAACCAGAGACCCTAGATGGGGAAGAGGAGATTCCCCTGGTTGGAAGGAGGGCAGAAAGTAGAATGCAGATAGGAACCACACATCTCTGAGAGTCTGAAGTGATTAACAAGTAGTACTTTAAGTCAGGGGAGAGAATGTGAGGATGAAGATGGGCTGTCAATCAGTGGATCTCATAGTCTATGATGCCCTGGGTGAGTGGCTAAGCCAATCATTAATTGGCAAATCTGACTACAGATGTCACATAACAATCCACCATCTGTGGGTGTTGTACATTCTTTTCGGATTCTATACCTTTTGCACAATCTCTGGATACGATGACTCTTGAACCGTTTGAGAGCCTGTACAATAGTTTGCTGCCACAATAATCTGTCTTGAGCTATGATTTCCAGGTCACTGGGAGATATGCCGCATGACTTCAGATTGGCCTTTATAATGCTTATACCAACCACCAATAGAGTACTTTCTGTCAACAAGCTGGCTATATAAGACCATCTTCAGTATCTCTGAATCCTCCATCCTCATAACACGATCAATGCAGCAAAACTGTTTGTTCATAAGCATTGCTTCTATGCCTGCGACACCACAATTCACATGGGCAACTTTCCTAAGGCAGTGCATATGAAGTTGATCGAGTTTCAAATATGGTGGCAATATATGGTCCATGAATGAGAGCTATACAGCAGGCGATTCCAGACAACTGCCTGATAAACAGTTATTTTCGTATGAAGTATAACATCATGGTCTTTCCATAAGCATTTGATCAATTTTCCCAAGGCAGCACTGGCTTTAGCTAGTCGAGAAGATCCATTGTCATCAGCACGCTTCTAAATTAATGACATTTATCAGCAGCCTTAAGGACAGTATCAGCAGCAGTGATCACTCAAGTCTTTCCAAATAGACTGAGACATAACCTCTGTCTTCTTGAGGTTCACAGCGAGTCCAAGAGAGCAAGCAGAAATAGTAAAACAATCCAAAAGCGCCTGTGCATCAACTGAATAAGCCAACAAAGCACAATCATCAGCAACAGGAGGTCATGGATAGTTACATTAAAAACTTTGGTGCAAGTCTGAAGTCTTTGGAGGTTGAAAATGCTACCAACCATTCAGAACTGTCCGATGTGCAATCCTTGAAAGCAACTAACAGCACGCTAAACAGGAGAGGACCCAGGACACATCCTTGCTTTGTGCCATTTGATACTTCAAAAGATGAAGATGGAACAGTCATGCAGATGACTGCCAGCCAAAGTATGCATCTGCTGCCAAGTCTTGCACTAAGGCAATGCACTGCAGGTGCGCACACAACTCTCTGTGGCCTCTCTACATATATGCTGGAACAGCACATCCTAAAAGGAGTCTGTGGTTGAAGTTTCGACTCTTGCGGAATGGGCCTGCACCCCAGTGGGAGAGGTAGGAAAGGCAGACAGTTGATAGCGAAGTTCAATCCAATCCAAAATCTACTTGGAAATTCTCTGGATGGAGATTGCTTGACCTCTAAGTCTTTCTGCTAGTACAACAAACCATTGGGGGACTTCTGATGGATTTTATCTTGTGCAGGTAGGACAAAACCTGTAGCATGTTGAGGGAGTAGAATTATCGTTCCTCTGAAGATGCATGTGGCTTTGGGAAGAAAACAGGTAAGCAACTGGATTGATCAATATCCAACTGGGACGTTACCTTTGGCAGAAATTTGGGATGCAGGACCAGAGAGACTATCTTTATGTAAAGTTGTAAAAGGGCACGATGGCCCTAAACTCACTGACCCTTCTTGCAGAAGTCATAGCAAATAGGAAGATGACTTATGACAGAGCATAATGCCAAAGGTTCTAAGGGTGGTTTCATTAGCACAGTTAGGTTCATGTCCCTCCACAGAATAATGGATTGAATGGGTGTGAAGTGTACGATGAGGCCCTTCCAAAGCCTACCAGTTAACAGGTATGTGGAGACAATGCTCTTCCACAGGAGGGTAGAATACACTAATGGCTGCTAAGTGGACTTTCAGAGAGTTGAGGGCAAAACCCAATGCCTTCAAGGACAGAAGGTGGCTGAGGATGAGGGGGATCTCTTTTGTCAGGCCCAGGAAGTGAACAATTTTCTCTTGGTCCTGTAACAGTGTCTAGTGGATTCTTTTCTGCTGCAGGAGAGGATGCCTTGCATGACTGGAGTAACATCCCTATTGTAGAGTAGATGCCTGTCCAAATACCATACTCTAAGGTGGAACACCTGTGGACTGGGAGGTATGATCTCATCGTTGCATTGCATCAGCAGATCAGAGAGGGTGGGAAGAGTAATTGGTGGATGGATTGACATACATAGGAAGTTGGGGAACCAAAACTGTTATGGTCAGAAGGGAGTAATCAAAATGACAGTCGCTCTGTCTCATCTGATCTTACAGAGTGCTTGAGGAAGCAGAAGAGGGAATGCACAGCTGATTTGGTCTGAGCAGGTGAGTATGGCAGCATTGTCCTGAGAGTGAATGCCAAGATCTCCCCTGGAGCAGTACATGTCACATTTGCTGTTTATGTAGGAGGTAAAGAGATTTCTGGCCAGTCCTCATGGCAGGACTCAGTACTGTCTAGACTAGTGGTTCCCAAACTTTTCCAGATGGGGACCCATTTTGACAATTCAGGACGACTTGGTGACTAAAGGCAATTCAAAAACGGGGGGAAGGAGAGGGGGCAGAGCCACCTGGGGAGACACTTGGCGATCCTTTTCAAATGTAATGGTGACCCATATTTGGGTCCCGACCCATAGGGTTGGGAAACCCTGGTCTAGACCATCCCTGATAGACATTTATCTAACCTGCTCTTAAATATCTCCAGAGATGGAGATTCCACAACCTCCCTGGACAATTTATTCCAGTGTGTAATCGCCCTGACAGTTAGGAAGTGTTTCCTAATGTCCAACCTAAATCTCCCGTGCTGCAGTTTAAGCCCATTGCTTCTTGTTCTATCCTCAGAGGCCAGGAAGAACAAGTTTTTTCCCTCCTCCTTGTGAAAACGGCTATCATGTCCCCTCTTAATCTTCTCTTTTTCAAACTAAATAACCCCAGTTCTTCCTGTCTTCCTTCACAGGTCATGTTCTCTAGACCTTTAATCATTCTTGTTGCTCTTCTCTGGACCCTCTCCAATTTCTCCACATCTTTCTTGAAATGTGGTGCCCAGAACTGGACGCAATACTCCAAGTGAGGCCTAATCAGTGCAGAATAGAATAGAAGAATGACTTCTCGTGTCTTGCTCACAACACACTTGTTAATGCATCCTAGAATCATGTTTGCTTTTTTTGCAACAGCATCACACTGTTGACTCATATTTAGCTTGTGGTCC